GGGCCTATTTGGATCTCCTATGGCTTCTAAAAACTCCACATATCCAGCTTCTCCTCCTCGCTTCTATTTCACGTAGCAACCGCATGATCGTTCGGCAGCGTCTGACTCCGACCGCGACGCTCGCTTGGGGCTGCCAGCCCATTAAGCGTGGAAGTGGCCCATTTGGGAGGCAAATCAGACATGCCAAGGCTAAGCCCAGTCAGCAGGGGTGTGCTGGAGGAGAGGAATGCATGGAGCGAACCGGTACACTGCCTTGAAGTCACTTGGTGGTGGCATCCTCGGGTAATATCGCTCAACTCTAGCTTCCCCGTTTTTTCGGATCTAGGAAATCCCAGCTCCTCCAACTCCTCACTTTTTGCACTAGACGCCTCGTCAGCTTCTGAATCGCAGCTCCTGGAGTTAAAACCGTTTGGTCCAGCTCTTGCCACGGAGTTGGAGGAGCCAGGAGCTGTAGCACTCCCGAACAGGCCCTAGGTATCTCTGATACGACTTTTCCAGGTCTAGAATTCCAGTTGCTGGCAATCACCCTCTTTATGAAAATCTTGCAAATTAAGAGAGAAAAGGCATTAGAATTGCATCACAAAGTCTTATAATGATCAAAAACATTGTAAATAACAGTAGGAAAACGTGATGCAAAATAGACGTATCACATACTCACCTATGGCAGTGCTCAGGGATGGCAGATGGGTCATCGAGACTTGCTCTGGTGGCCTCGCCTACTCTCGCTGGTGCACTGGACAAGATGGCTTCATTCCTGGTGGTTGATGCGAAGGGGAGGGTGTGAGGGGAGTTGGAGAAACCCTGTCTTGGTTTAGTGCCAGGAGTGGTGATGACAGTGCTTCTGGGCGTCATAATCCTTATTGAAGGCGTCACTGCATTGCTCCTTTCCTCCCCTTTTGGTCTTTGCTCCGAGGAAATCCTTGCTCCTCGTGGGACAGACAATGGCGGCGATTTCTTCGGCGTTGACCTTCTTGAAGGCATTGTCTTGGAGCATCCTAATTTGGGATTTGACAGTGTCAGTGATCATCCTTCCTTAATATTTGTTGCAAAGTGCGACGACGACCTTCGCTATCGAAGTTGCTGGTGGCGAGTGGCTCTTGTCGCAGCTTGACTGTCTGCTTGTGCGAGCATGGCCTTCAATTGTGTGGCACCTCACGTTAAGACCATGCTTTGCATGTAGTTGCTGGGGCTGTGGAAAGTGGTGGTGACATCGCAGCTGATGTCAAGTGATGTTTGGTGCAGATATGGTTGTTGTTGTAGATTTTGATCACTGGCTTGATCCCTTCAGAGTTTTTCTTTTTCTTTTTGCTCCACTAAGGCATAGTTTCGATCATGTTTGACTTTGCTAGTTGTCGGTGTGTGATTTTTTGTGTCGGTTGGGTTGACTGTGGTCATCCTACCTATGCAGAGGTCGGGTGTGTGCTCACTGTGTTTGCATCACTTGAATCTCCATTTTGAGCTAATAAAATTCACCCTTTGTCAAAAAAAGAGATATGTCATAAAAATTGTGTTGTTGGATTACCATTTTTTTCTGCATATAACTCATATTTTATTAATAAAAATCTCATATTGTATTACACAAATATATGGTCAAACTTTGGATCACAAGGCTAATAAACCCAGAAGGAGGTCGTAGCAACTAAATATCACATTATCTTGATAAACACTATATTAAATATTGCACCAACTTTAGTACCACATTTTCTTATTTAGCATTGCTACTGATATATTATGAAATATTGCATGGAATAACAATGATTAAGTCAGTGTATATTTAACTGTATTAAATCTTTAGTTAGTAGATTTTTTTTCTTTAGATTTTAGGGTTTCATTTTGCATTTTGCACCAGGGCCTCGAAATCCGGGAGACGACCCTGATATGACCATGATCAGAAAAACAGATCATCAATCAACACTTTGAGCGAGTTCTAGAGACAAGACTAGGAATCTTGTTTTATTGTTTATAACTCTACATGTGCTCATGAGTTTTCCTCCGAATCGCATATCTGTCAATGATAGCAGTTATAACATTAATTATAAACATGGAAGTAAATAATACTCAAATATTATTGCCTTTAGGGCATATTTTCAACATCTCCCACACGAAAAGGACACACATTAGCAATGCGCTGATTATGGGACTCCATCGAATTCATTAGCTGAATGGGTGAATGGTCAGATTTGATGGAACTTAGATGCACCACTGATGCTAAGGGAAATAAGTTGTACCAAATCCGAAGAGGCTAAATCCCGATCAGGCACTCGGCAGAAATATCCTCCTTCAATTGTTCTCTCAAATGTCCAGTCCAACCCTCGATACCCCAAATAAAAAAGCTGGCACACATCCACACACTCTCTGAAGAGGTTAATCTGGGCATCTCTCGCGGGTTCGGATCAAACTGCTCCTCCCGCCTAAGAACTTCATTAAAGTCTCTCATACACAACCAAGGAAGATCAATGTTAGCTTTTTAGAATCTCATAATGTCCCATGTTTTGTACCGCCAACCCCTATTGGATTCTCCATACTTACAAGTTAATCTCCAAGGATCCTTCCCCTCCTTCACCTCCATATCAATATGATATTAGAAAAATTGTAGAGTTTCAAAACTTTTTTTTTGAAAACAAGGATAACCCCGGCCTCTGCATCAGAACAACGCATGCAGATGGTACTTCTAGAAAATGCACAAACCACCACTTCTTCCGCTGCTACTCACACCATACGCATGATCAAAACTCTAAGTTCCAGACAAACCTTCCATACGATACTTCGTCATCTGTGTTTTCACCACGCAAAGGATCGCCGGCAAGAGGTTGCGCAGCTCATGAACTGTCGCGGGGGCGCCCAGCCCGCGGATGTTTCAGCATGAAGTACTCATTGGGACGACGGTCCTCCCCGAGGGGGCTGCTGATAATGCCAATGCACTGTTCTTCTTTGGAGATTGTCCCTTCTTTGCGATTTAACGTGTGTGGAAGAGAAACACCCGTAGAGGATTTCCACCTATCCAAGGCGGATGACTTGACATGCCCATAATTCCATCTATCTAAGATGGTCCTTGTTACACCAACCTTGGAAAGGTGGTTGCAATCCTAAAATTGTTGGTAACGGGTGGAGAATCGAGACTGATTGCTATTTTTGGCTTGCCTATGATACACTTTCTTTCTAAATGATATGATGTGCCAATTTGTTATATCTTACAATTAACATGAGGATTTAGTGGCACAATTATTCTGTTAAAATGATATCACGCTCTTCATCTAGCATTTTAAAAAAGAAGGAGAATAACCCTGCCTCTGTATCGAGCGATGCACACAACCATCTTTATTATATTATTTAATAAAGACTGACAAAAACAAATATATATGTATGAACCCAAAGCCATCTTCTGGCAATCTATGTCGCTACACCTACTATCGATGATGTGCCCTGACCAAGCCTCAACATACACCATGTAATCCGGTGGCTTCACCAAGCCTCCCCACAGCGACCCGAGATGACCAACCGGTCTAGCGGATCCTAAGTGCACACCGCATGCGCATGCTCAAGAATATGCGTTGCCATCTTCCGTTGTCCCAACTTCAGGAGCGTTCACACATTGAGCTTGCCAGGCCCAACTGCCATTGATGCCATCACGACGCCCGACAACGCCACTACCATGCGCACGTCCATCAAGACACATGCATCGCTCAGACCCGCTGCCGCTAATGCGGTAGATGCCACAGCGCACCACCTCCTGATCCAGAGCGCCACCAACACCAACCCAACAGTGTCCACTGGCCAACTATCTTTCAAGGCGGCACCTTCAAGAAGGGAATGAAGTTGAACGCACCCATCGCAGTCAGGGCTTTCACCCGGGAGGCAAATGGCATGATGGATGTGGAAGCAGATCTGGCGAACGTTTCATGGAGGAAAAACAACACCCTCGGGCATCACCGCCACAGTAGTCGATCCATGCCGGTTAGGGATTTCACCCGATCTGAATCCCCACCTCCAGCTCCATCCACATCGAGGACCAGAGGTTTTTGCGACCCAGATCCGTACAAAGGAACACACAGAGCAGGGAGGAGCGAAGACGCCCCGATCTAAATCAATCGCCGCTGAGCGAACACGACCGCCGTTCAACATAAGCACGCCACTGTGCCGCCTCTCGAGCCCCTCCACCTGACGCCGAGATCGGCCGCCAATCGATCGGCCATCGCCACTCAGCGCACGCCGACGCGCAGCCATGGAGTTTCCACCCTAGAGCCTGGGTGCCGCCACGAGAGGAGGCCCGGCCGCCATCGTCAGCCGCGCGGGCTTCGCTTCTGCCTCCTCCGCCGGCGGCGCGGCGGGAGGGGAGGGAAATGGGGTTGGTGGCGCTAGGTTTATGGGAGCCCCCGAGTCGCCCTGGGCTGGGCGGCGCGGGGCTGTTTCCTCGACACGGGGAGTCTCGCATTTAATTGATGTTACCGGGATAATAATTGTACATACACTACTGTTGGTATTGGATTGAGATGGCTAACCACGCTTGCCGCACGGTGCATACATTGTTTGGTAATACAAACAACGCATAATTTCGATATGCTAAAGTGGTAGAGCTTGACAGCAACATTGTTCATTTTACTTCTGGAGTACAAAGCGCACATGCATGAAATGGTTTTGTGTTTTGATGATTTTCTTTTTGGGCGAGTGAGTGTTTTGGTAGTTGTAAAGCTTAGCAGCTTAACGCTATTCAAATGTTCTTTCTGGGTATAAAGAAGGCACATAGTTGTCATCCACCACACTCACACCAGTATGAACACTCATGCATGAATGCCTTTGTGCTACTGTTGATGGTTGTAAACTTGTAATACCGAGCAAATGTACATGTATATGTCACCGTGAAGTTTGATGTATATATGCACATCTTTTACAAGCAATCAAGAAACAGATCAGAAAACCTCTCAAAAAGAAACAAAAAGAGAAATCCTCGCCTCATAAAAAAGTTCAAAACGAATTTATTATTTTTAGCCGAGGAGGATTTCTCATGCCCATACAGCAAGCATGGACATGAGAGCCGTCCCAACCAGCAAGGAGATGTTAATGATGACCTGCAACCTTCCGTTGTTCTGCACCCTAGGATTCATGAAGTCTTCCGCTAGAAGGTCGACGAGCGCCATGTAGTTCAGAATTCCGGCGGCGGCAGCGCTGAGGAGCCCTTCCACGATTAGGGCCCTAGGGCTATTCTCGTCGTAAGCAGAGGATATCCCGATGCCGATCACGACACCAACTGGCAGCGTGAGTGAGAAGAAGAGTGCCATCATCAAGACAGACTTGAGGCGAAACCTAGCCTGTACGATAGAGCAAAGCTATTTCATTAATCACGTAGCATCCATTTTCTACCATCATTTTATGGGCCAAGAAGTTAGTATCATGTTTGCTAAGCCATATTATAGTTTATTGACTCTCAATGTAAGTAAAGAGTAAAACAATAGTGACCTTTGGGTGCAGCTGACTAGAAACAGTTGTGTAGCGTTATTCAACCAGTTTGGCTAGGAAGCCACTCGTAGGTTATATATGTTGATAAGCTATATAATTTTGGGTACAATCAATTGTGGTCGTGTTTCTTTTTATTTGTATTACTGTCTTGTACTTGATAACTTGAACTTGATTCACGCTTAATAAAATGGATGAATGCATCCTGCCATGCAGAGAGGCCATTGTATTTCCCTTTTTGAAAAAAAAATAGTGGTGGCTGTGAAACATGTGGTGTCAAATCACTTGAACTTCTCGCAGTTTGTAAATCCGGTGGAATGCAAAAACATACACGTGATTAAGGTAAGCTTCTAGAGTAGCCACCAAAAAGGTACATTATATTGAATATCTCCTTTTCTTTCTATAATCAAGGATGTGATTTTAAATTTCAACTTTTTTGATTGTACTACAAGAAAATATGTACAAATGGATCAATTAAATTTTCAAAATCCAACACAATCCTAAAGCGACTTGAATTCCATTTTGGTGTAATTTATTTGACCAATGATTATTGGAAGAAAAATAGGAAAATAGAAACAACTTTTCGTTTGATCTAGAAACAGTGAAACATAACTAACATTTTTAGTTTTGAACCCTGAACTATCGTACTTTTCCGAACTAGAACCCCAAACTATGAAACCATTTATATGAAACACTAAACCTTTTAAAACGAACCCTGGACCGATTTTTAATAGCAGTGATGCTATTTTTTTTTGCAGGCGATGCTATGAAATGATAGGCCACAAAAATTAACTTGCAAAAAATGATATACATGCATTGTGAAAAATGACAAGATATATTCATTATACTTTGTAATTTTTTCTATGAAATAACATAATCATATCGGTTGATTATTTTTCAGCTGCCACATATTATATACTGTATAACCCTCTCTTTTTTTGCGAAAAACTGTATAACCCTCTTCACACACCTATGTATTATTATTCAGTTCTGTAGAACCTTTGAAGGCTAAAAGACCCTCCTAATATTTACCATGTTACTAACCGCAAAAAATAAACTTTACCACATTACTTAGTGTGGTTTTGCACCTTTGAATTTAACGAAAATGAAAAAGATCCTGGACACGGGGGATGCTACTAATTACCAACCTGCAAAGCTTAATCGATAGTAATACGGCAGAAGGAATCATTTTTTCTCTCGTTATTTTTGCTCATGACATGACACAAATTGTAATATATATTACAAACTCACGTCGCCCATACACCTATATGAATTTTGTCACATTCCATAAAACCTTCAAATTCCAGACCAAGCTAGGGTTCAGGTGAAACAATTTTAGAAAGTTCAGAAGCTTAGGGTTCAAATTAGTTTATATAAGTTTTTATCATGTTTGATACTGTTTTGTCGCTAAATTTCAGATTTGTTTATCACGTTTGATATTATTTTTTCGGTCTTTTGTAAACTCAGGTGTAGTATATATACCCGAGAGTGGAAAATCCACTCTCCATGTCAGAATATTAGGAAATCCATCTTTGTCGATTGTGCACGCATACTCGATCGTATACGAGCGGAACGACTCACATCGAGGAATATATGCATACCATTCTCTGGTGTGGATTGATTAATGGAAAGGGGGTAATTCCCGGTTGAAAAAAAAAAACATACCTGAACGATGCATCCTCCCAGCCCTATCCCTTCGAAGAATTGATGAAAAGTTAGCGCCACCACGAGTGGTTTGATCGTGCTGGCATTCTCAGATGCACCCAAAGACATGCCGATGATCACCGAGTGCACTATGATCCCCAGCTCCAGCACCTAAATTCAGATAAAGCATTGGAAGCGACCAATTAATTAGCGTCCACGGCCACAGTGATTTGACTTGTGATAGGAGCCTAAATCTCAGTCGAGTATGCATGCACACAGCCTTGATGCATGCACAATTTAGTTACAACTACTCCCTCCGTTAGGAATTACTTGTCTCGGAACGGAGGGAGTAGTATGGACGCATCGATCAATCAGCACCTGCGAGATGACGCGGTGACGGATGAGCTTCGCGCCGTCGTCGGAGAATGACGACACGATGACGGCGGACACGCCGTGGGAGTGCCCACCGTGCGCCTGCTCGGAGTCGGAGGCCTCCACGTACCCGACGGCCGCGGATGTATTCTTGGCGTGCGCGCGCTGGAAGTATCCCGTGGCAATGGTGTCGACGATGAGGGTGGCGATGGCCGCGAGCATGGCGACGAATCCGGCGAACGGGAACTTCTGCCACGGCCCGTCGACAGGAATGGCAAATGCATCTTTATTTCTTTTGGACTTTGTATAAAATTACATTCATCAGCGTACCACTTTTTCTTCGACATGCAATCACCACTTTATCCTTCAACTAGTATCATCAATGCACTTTCTCAGGTTGGTCTCGCACTATTTCTGTCTCCAAGATCCCTGCAGCAGTACACCTGCATGCAGCAAGCACCTGTCCGTCTCTCTTTCCACTTTGCACTTTTCTCCGGTACAAAGGTGCTGTTTACTGGGGCATTTATGCTTTTAAGGGTTAATGATAGTTGTGAATGAACTTTTTTTTGAGCATCAAGTACACACACAAGTGCTCATATACACGCGCATACGCTCACCCCTATGAATGCACACACGCACACCCTACCTCTATGAGCACCTTCGAAAGACTAAGCCGACATATCATCTTGAGATTTACGAAGTCACCGTAGGCGCCTCGTCGTCGACTGGAACGTCTCCTCCCACTGAAAGCACATCGCCGGAAATCCTGAAATAAATCCAGGAATAATGCGAGCATCAGGATTTGAACCCTAGTGGGTTGGGGATATCACTGTCCACCTAACCATCTCAACCACAGGTTGATTCGCTAGTTGTGAATGAACTTAGCTCGCTCTCTCTCTCTACCTGACACATGCATGAAGCAGGTCAAAGCCCCTCTCGCTGCAACCAATAACTCGCTGTCTCCGGTGACACGTAATATACTATAATATATGGCATCAGACACACCTTCCCGAGATCTCATCTCGGATCGTTCAAGCAAAAAAGTAATATTGTTGAGATGTTGGGTGTCGACACCGTGAGCCATGGCATGACATAATACACTATGTTTTCACATTCTCATCACGGTTATCACAGGTTCACACCTATCAGCTCCAAGTCCTTACCGTGCCATATATGCAGAGTTGGCCTGCCAGGCACCAATATCAAACACAAGGTAGAGGTACAAAGAAGAAGACAATTGCAATTTATTTGCTGAGAAGGCATCTCCTCAGCGGCATGAATTGTGTCGACACATGAGCAAGAGTGTCGTCACTTTCCAAACCAGGCATAAGAACTATATAAAACCAGCAAAACATTGAAATGATCATAGGCTGTACCCTATAGCATAACAGTACTCAATTCACGCGGTGTCAACTCGATCGAATTGCAAACTCGGTAGCACGTCTTGCTTGAGATATTTACGACTAATTACATTTCCAACCATATATTCGTTAAGAAATAAGGTCGGATGTCGGATAAGTTTTAAAACTATCACAATTTTGGGGTAAGTCTTGATTGGACCACATTAGCGCTATGTGAACCGCATAGGAATCTACATGAAGTACATTGAGTATCGTATGGGAATTCAATATTTAAGCCATCTCTTTGACAACATCAAGACTCGAATGAGCTAAAATGTCGCCATTTGTGGAATCATATATGAAAAACTAGAACAATATAATGTTTGTAGGGTCAGCGCTAAGATAAGAGTACTCAATTCATCTTATGCTTTCATTTTATCCATTTTGAACTTGGCAACGCGTCTAACTTTAGTTTCTTTAAGAGGTCTATTTTCAATCATGTATCTAAAACAAGGGGGCATGTTGGTTTATTTTGACAAACCATTCACCGTCTCGATCCGTTGGCAGTGGAAATCCTTGTCTGAACCACATTCAACATCAAGACCTGGTATTGTTAGATTTCAAGCACATTTAGCGTTGGCTTAAATCCGTCCAAAGTTCATCAAAGACTAAAAAGGCATTGTGTGCTTGAGTAGCCAACTCTTTGACGACAATTGATTGGCCTTCACATGCACAAAAAAGTTGGCATTTGTGTTAGTAGATACAACAAATATATAACACGCAAGCAATATAGCGAATTCATGATCACATGGTCAGCTCTATGCTAGGATTACTCAACTTGCCATCTTCCTTCTTTGATCTAACTACAACTCGGTAGCATGTCTTAATTTTTTGTGAATTATTTTTGAGAAAAATGTTAATCAAGCATTTGAAAAATGTTAAATGTCTAGAGAAAAGTTGTTGACCATGTATTAAAAAATATCAATCTTGTATTTGAAAAATGTTAATCGAGCATTTGAAAATGTTAAATGTGTATAAAAATGTTGACCATCTATTCATAAAATATATTTGAAAAATGACTTGTATTAAAAAATATATTAGATATATACAAAAAAATGTGTATAAAAAAGGGTGAAAACAAAGAAAAACATGAGAAAGATACACACAGTGGTGAAAATCGAAGACACTGAAGAAAGAAACAAAAGAAACACCTCAGAAATGAAGAAAAACGGAAACGCAAAGAAAATTGTGAAAAATGTGGAAACAAAGGAAAACCAAGAAAACGAGAAAAACCAGAGAAAACCGATGCAAAAATGAAATGGGAACTAAGAAAGAGGAAAAAACCGAAGGGAAGCGATAAGGAAACAAAAACACTGAGGGCTCATTCGGTTTGGAGGAAATCAAGACGTAGGAATTCTGAGTAGTATAGGAATTTGTTAGGATGGCACTTGCCATCCTAAGGAATTGACTTGCCTCGTTCCTACGCACAAAAATGAGCTTTGAAGGGATGTGTAGTTTCCTCCAAAAACAGAGGAAATGAGTAATATTCCTATGAAATTCCTGTACACATTTCCTACAAACTAAATGCATATATAGAATTTTTTTTTCCAGAATCCTTGTTCCTATGTTTTTCCTACAAAAATCCTCCAAACCGAGTGAGTCCTGAAGAAAAGAAGAATGAGAAGGAAAGGCCTAGTGAAAATCAAGAAATAAATGAAGAAAATCGGTGAAAAACAAAGAAAGCAAAATTCGAAGAAAACCATGAAGAAGAAAACAAAACAGATAAGAACCGTGTAAAAAAATATATAAAAACAGATCAAAAAAGAAAGAAGAACAGAAAACCGGAGAAACCCGTAGAGAAAAGCAAAAGAAAACAAAAGGCAATAATGGACCAAAGGAGCGAGCGAGTAACAAAAAATCGATCGATCCGAGCGAGCCAAGGAGGAGAAGAAAATGGGTCGGGCCGATTCGTACGCAAGAGCAAAATTCCTTCAGGCTAGAGCAGTAATTGTTTCATTATAAGACATATTTCTCACAAGTTCCCTGGGCCTTACCAGTCGCGCTGAGGAGCACAAGTATAAACGAGCAAGAGAGATAAGGGAATACGCCGCTCACTCGGGACGATCAGCTCTGTATATATATCACGATTACATGGAGCCTTGGAAGCCAAGGAACAAATCTCCTCGTATCAATCTACAAACTGAACAGAATCGGAAAGATACGGAGGTAGGCTATAGCCATACAAGGTATGTACTTTAACATCCCCCCGCAGTCAATGCGTCGGATGGACGAACACATAGACTATACCGAAAGTTCAAGAATAGCTGTGACGGGAGACCCTTCGTCATAATGTCAGCAAACTAATGCGAAGATGACACATGAAGAATCCGAATCTGACCGAGAGACACCTTTTCGCCAACAAAATGTATGTCGATCTTGATGTGCTTCGTACGATGATGCTGAACCGGGTTGCAAGCCATGTAGACAGCGTTGACATTGTCACAAAAGAAAACAGTCGCGATGTGGAGGGGGCGATGAAGCTCGTGAAGAAGTTGATGAAGCCAACAACATTCAGCCACGGTGTGAGCCACGACACGATACTCGGCTTCGGCACTGGAGCAGGAGACTGTAGCCTGGCGTTTGGAGGACCAGGACACAAGGTTGTCACCAAGATATACACAGTAACCAGAAGTGGACCGGCGAGTACAGGGCAGCCAGCCCAATCAGCGTCCGAGTACGCGGTGAGTGACGAAGCTGGTGTAGAGTGAAGCCGAAGACCGAGATCCAATGTACCCTTGATATACCGTAGGATCCGCTTAACCAAGTTGAGATGCGGTTCCCGAGGAGCATGCATGTATAGGCACGCCTGCTGCACAACATACGCAATGTCAGGGCGTGTCAAGGTCAGGTACCGAAGAGCGCCAGCAAGGCTGCGGTATTCAGTAGGATCGGTGACGAGTGGACCGTCGTCGTCGGCTGAGAGCTTGCAACGAGTGTCTATGGGAGTAGCACACAGGTTGCATTCATGCATGCCAGCTCGGTGTAGCAAGTCGATGGCGTACTGGCGCGGTGACAATAACATCCCGGACGACGAGCGGGTAACCGAGATGCCGAGGAATCTTGGAATGCACCCCGGTAAGTTTTGGGAATGGGAGAAATAGAGGTATGGATGGCCGAGAGATTGAGCCTATCAACCGGCCGAGAAATACCATGCTTGGCACGGGTAAGCATAGTATGAGTGTTCACGGCCAGAACAGATCGGCCACGAGTGCGGGTAGGAGGTGGAGGGGGAGGTGGAGGCGATGGCGTTGCCGCAGCTGAGGAGGTGGACTCGATGACGGCGAGCGAGCTGCAGGCGAGCTAGGTGCAGAGACGCCTAGCGTGGAGGCAGGTGCATGTGAGATGGGACGTGAACGTGTGGATGCATGCATGTTGGGCTGGGCTGGTGCATACACGGGCAAGTCTGGCTGGGTGCATGCAAGGTCAAGGAGAAAATCAAGGGAATCGGTTGGCTGAGCTGGTTGTGTATGCGCGAACGGACATTGATTTTCGTCAAAAATGACGTGACGAGAAATGATAACTCGACGAGAAGTGAGGTCGAGGCAGGTAGCCACGGTGGGAGGAGGGGTATCCTAAGAAGACATATGCGGTTGAGCGAGGAGCAAGTTTATGAGGAGCCGTAGCGGATTGATTCGCATAACATAGACAGGCAAAAACCCGAAGGTCAGTGTACAAGGCAGGCTTGTGGTGAAGAAGTGTATAAGAGCATCTCCAGCCGTTGGCCACCCAGGCGGCTCGAAAAATCGCCACCTGGGGACGAACCGGCGCCAAAATCGGCCTGGGGGCTATCGGGTTCCTAGCCGAAGCCGCAGGGTCGGCCCC